AGCAGAGGCTGACTTGTCTCTCTGACTTTTTCCTTGTCCAGTTCTGTTCACTGCTGCTCAGCCTGACTGCCCCCTGCTCTGCCCCCTCATCCTCCCCACGTATAGCAGTCTCTTCTCCTGGAAATCCATCTTCCACACCTACCCAATTCCTGTGCTCCTCCAGAGGATTGTTGTAGGTCTCCTCCATTAATTTGCTGTTACATAGCAAGCCAGAAAAGCCTTTAGCTGACTGATGCTGAATGCCCTTGGAGGTGCAGCTTATGTCCAGTGATGTCACAGGTCCTCATGCACTGGAACTCAGCAGGAGTCAGGAGGAGTAAGTGTAGGCAGCCTGACAGCAGGAGCCTCCCTCTTGCCTGATTTCTTACACTGCCCCATTTTCCTTTCTTGAGTCTCTCTTGTCAAGAAGCTTGAATGTAAAAACGATGAGAACAGAAATGTTTCCCTTTGAAGATGGCTACCTAGTGCAGAGGGGGTGCCCCAGTTCTAGTCTCTGTTGCATGGGTCACGTTCGAGGCCCTTCCTAGAGCAAAATTCTCCAGGGACTTTCTAGAACAACTTGGACTTGCGCATAGACCCAGCAACCCACAGCACACAGGGCAGCAGTGTGATCTCCGCTGAAGCACACCCAGCCCTTCTAACTGCATTGTATACGTTTACCTGTTTGTAGTGTGGTATCGCTGTTGTTCTTCCCTACAGTGATGAGCTGACCCTTGAAGGAATCAAGCAGTTTTTTGTGGCTGTGGAGAGGGAAGAATGGAAGTTTGACACCTTGTGCGATCTCTATGACACGCTCACAATCACCCAGGCTGTCATCTTCTGTAACACCAAGAGAAAGGTACAGCAGCCGTCAGATGGGCATGGTACTTTCTGAGGGTGGCTCAGAGGAGAATGCTGGGACAAATCCAGTTAAAAAGTCTGGCTGTTTCCCCGTTTGGGAATAGTTTAGTAAGAACAGAGGTTAAACATTTGTCTTTGGGATGTGCCTAGCTTAAACAACTGGTTATAGGCAGACCCGATAGACTTGGCAGGAATTGCCTTTTTAGAGAAGTAGAGCTGATTAGGTAAGAATGTGCTTCTTACTCTAATTGCTTATAATCCCTGAAACAAAACCACATGTTCTGAATGAATGCCCTTAACTCCTTTCCTTTCAGGGCTCGTGGAGCCCTGTGTTATACAGCTGATGCCTTGTAAGGATTATTTACTTTTTTTAGCTCCAGAATGCTTGTTAAAGTGTCTCTCAGCCCTTACCAGCATGTGCCTCTGCAAACATTCTCTAAGCACTAGTGCATTTGGCTGTCCTGAGCAAAGAACTAACCCAGGCTGCTTGGCTGTATGCACAGGTAGACTGGCTCACAGAGAAGATGAGAGAAGCCAACTTCACAGTTTCATCCATGCATGGGGACATGCCACAAAAGGAGAGAGAGTCCATCATGAAAGAGTTCAGATCTGGCGCAAGGTAAGTGCCTTAAATGGTGTTGCTTTCAGCATTACTACCTCAAGGCAGGATTTCTTCTAGCGTCTGAAGGGAACAGACCTCAGAAACTCCCATACCTCTCCTCTCTGAAGGCCTTGTTAGGCTCAAATTAGGAAGAGCTCTGATTCCCATCTATCCCCCTGCAGTGTCACAGGGTTGGCAGATTGCCACTTTGCAAGGAGGGATGCTCAGACTTCTAGGCATAGTATTAGACTGTTTTATTTTGCTGAAGGGGTTGGGAGTTGATGCATTTAAAGTAAGTCAAGAAAAATACCTGGGCTCTGTCCTCTGTATTTTAAACTCTTAGAAGCATCATATTTTTTCTGAAAGATGAAAGCTGTCTTAGTACTACCTGTCTTCACTGAAGTTTGGTGATGCTGCATAGGACAGCTTTCCTTGCAGCAAAAGTGTGGATGCTGCCAGTGTGCTGTGGGCAGGGAGGAGCACAGAATAGCAGGGGATGCCCTGTGCTGGGGACTACACCTTCTCAGCTCTCACACCCACCTCAGCCAGGTGGAATAGCCGTAACTGTCCCCTTCTCTTTGCAGCCGAGTCCTTATTTCAACAGATGTTTGGGCTAGAGGTCTGGATGTGCCTCAGGTGTCCCTGATCATTAACTACGACTTACCCAACAACAGAGAACTCTACATACACAGGTAAGATCAGCCTTTGCATGGGGGGTGTGACTGGATTACCCTTCCCCAAGGTGGCTCCATTCTCTCCTTCCTTCTGCCTCCACAGAATTGGCCGGTCAGGCAGATACGGCCGAAAAGGTGTAGCAATCAACTTTGTGAAGAATGATGACATCCGCATCCTGCGAGACATCGAGCAGTACTATTCCACCCAGATAGATGAGATGCCCATGAACGGTGAGTGCAGGCCAGCCCCAGTGAGGCTGCTACCATCCTCCAGTTGGGAACTGGTGTGCTGCACCTGAAAGAGAAATGCCAGATGTTTTGTTTTGCCACATGCCTCATTCCCAAGGCCAACTTATCTTTTCTTCCCCTGGGGAAGAACCTGGGAGCAGCAGTAGGTGTGCTGTACCGCGGCACTGTGGCTCTTAGCACACTCAGTCCATACTTACCTTCTCTCATTTTCTCTCTTTTCAGTTGCTGATCTTATCTGAAGGTCTGTGTTTACCAGAGAGTTGTACTCATACTGTTTGGTAGCCTCCATAATTCTGTTTTGGACCCACATCCTTTTATCATATTGCTGGTCATATGTTCTTGAGTTGAGCTGCACTTGGGAACTTGTGTAAATAATGTCTTTTCTCCCACCCATGTTTTTCAATAAAAAAAAAAGGAAGTTTTACCATAACCTGTGCTTAATTACTTTAACCCAAGATAGTAACAGGCAAGAAGTTTTGAGATACTGCCATACTTGGCTAGCACAACCAAAAAAACATTGGACACTCAGCATATCTAGGTTCATAAAACACAGGGCTTCCTGTTCTCCACCCTTCCATTATCACTGTGCCATGCTACCTGATGTACTTTTTAGTTCCCTTAACTTGACTCTAAGGATCAGCCATCTACAGGAAAAATCTGTGGCCTGGCCCTAGCCTGCTCTAAGAAAATTGAGTTACAAGATAGCCAGAAAAGAAATTTCCTGTTGTTTATGCCTTTCTGGAGCCAGCAATCACATCACTTGTTGCTCCAGATGAGTATTTCCCCTCCCAGGGACTTGAGCAGGCACTTGGAAGGGTGAGTGGCTCTTTATATTTCTCCAGCTGGCATCAAGTTATTCTCATCAGCATTTCCTGCAGTAACAGAAAGAGCAAGTATTTTTTATCTTATTGCCTTTGCCCCTTTCTGATGCTGTAGCTTGTTACATCTTCGCAGTCATCTCCCTTCATCTGTCTCCCCACAGCACTATGCTGTACTTTGCCAGCTGTAGCACCTTCCCTGTAACTTTTCTACTGAGCTCTGCTGTATCCTTACTGAGGCACGAGTTGGTCAGAGCTATGTTGCTGGTGGGGGGTAAGATACCATGTTTTACCATATGCTTTTTCTGTTAAATTGGTTTCTGCTTGCTCAGGGAGGATGGGGAAGCAAGGCCTTAGGATGGCACCAGTTTGCACAGAACTGGAACAGCACCTGGAGCTCCTTTCCTGAGTCAGTCATGGAATAGCCCTGGGTAGAGTGAGTGTCTTATCCCCTTTATGCCCCCATGTATTGCACTAGTGAAGTTCTTCTGTTCCCTTGTACCTGCTCTGTGCATGATCCCGATGTTCTTAACAGTACATAGGCAAGAGTTGAGAAGTGCTAACCTTATTTACTAAGGATGCTAATTGTAAGGGGTTGCCCAATAGAAGTGAGGCTGCTACCGCTTCATGCCCCCACATGCAGCCAGCAGCAAGGCTGAACCAGCCTCCCCAGTGGGCACACGCCACCTGTACAGGTCAAATGGCACCACTGCCCTCATCCTGTCCCTCTCCAGCTGATCAGGATGAAGGTCTGCTAGCAGGAAATAAACACACACCCACAAGCTGTGGCTCCCTCCAGTAACTGGGCAAGGAGGCTCAGTTCATCCAGTTGCTGGCCTCTGGTCTGCTCCAGTAGCTGGCACATGGACATGGCCCACAGCTGACTCCAGGTGCCAGTTCAGCCTACCCTTGCACGCGCCCAGGGTGGGTGCCCTTGGTAACTGGCCTGCAACTGGCCCTTGGAGCCTCTTCTGCATCTCATTGTTTCCCACAGAGGGAGGCACACGTGTGCACACACACACCCCCGCTACCAAACTGGTCTCGGCTGAGCCCCAGACCCTCCAGCAGTTAGCCTGGACCTCCTGGCTCCTCCAGTTGCCTCCTGCAGAAACACACATACCCAGCCCATACTTAGGGCTGCTTCAACACCCAGCTTGCAAGCCAAGTCTGGCTTGATACTCATACACCGAGACTCACTCACAGCTGCTAGCGCTTGCTTTCCACTTGCTCCAGTCTGCCAGCACTCTGAACATACAGCCCGTGACCCAAGGTCCCATGCCAGTTGCTGGTGCTTGGACACACCTGCACATAGAATGGAGTCCCTCCTGCTCCCAGGAAGGGGCTGAGAAACGGAGTTAATGGAGAAAATGGCCCAGACAAGAACACTCACCACCAACCTGTTACCACATGACCAGCCCCTTTTAAGCCCCTAATCATTTGTTTCCCACACTAGCTCCTCCCAAAAATCACCTTGGCCCCTCCCTTTTCCTACCTTTGATCCCTCCCTCCCACAAAGTTGGAGGGTTTTTCCATTAATTCTGCACCTTCTTGGCACAGCGTTCAGGAACTCTTCCCCCCACGCACCCTGTTTCAGTCCTCTACCAGAAGGACAGAGCCTGGATAAAGCCTTCCAGCTTCACTGTCCCCATCCTGGATAGCGTTCCACTCTCACAGTCACTGCAGGGCATGGCACAGCCTCAGATCCGACTTGTACCTTCCCGGAGAACGCAAGAAGCAAAGGCAAGCATGGCCCTCTTAAGACCCCTACATGACTCTAGTCTTTTGACTAACAAAAAGATTCATCACCAAAGCATTAGATTGTTTAAATAACAGTATTTAATCTGTACAGTTTGAGAGAAGATATCATAAAATGCAACATTCCTACCTCATCTTCAGCATCATTCACCTGGAGCTGAGCCCTCCTCTCCAGAGGGCAGGTAACCACCACTCCCCGGCAGTTCTTTATGGTACAAAAGTCACAGTGCAATTGCTTTAGTCCTAGACAGGTGATTTCCCTCACTCGAAGAGAGGGGAGACTGATGAAGCTCAAATGTTGATGGAAATTGTTACCATTTAGGAATGAAAAAAAACCCAGCTATTGCACACAGTCATTTCCAGCTGAAACTACAGCAGTTAATTATTTAGCTGCCTTTACACTCCACACATCTGAAAATGCCTTAGTTGATACTGATTTAGTCAAGAGTGAAAACAGAGCTGGTACCAAGATTTCAGAATGATACAGTTGTTGGAGGGCAGAAGCTGACAAGCAACTCCACAAGTCAAGAAGCGTGCTTTAGAATACCAGAGTTTTCATATACAGGGAGGGGATATGAGCTAGACAGATGTCATCTTTCAGAGACAAGCATGAGAGGAACATCAGCTTCAACAGAAAGCTATGAAGTACAATAGACAATTTGTTCATATAATTGTCAGGATAAGTATTTGACATAGTTTATGTAGTAGAATACATACTCGAAGATCTTCTAAAAATAAGCACGAATTTCATTTCATATATACACAACTGATTTTAATCATGTACTGAAAATAAATTACAGGAAATAACTTTAAAATGCAACAGAAGACGAGTTTCACAACAAACATTCCCACTGATTTTCCCAAGGGGGTGAGAGATTGCAGTGCTCAAGGCAGGTAAATATCACAAATATATCAAAAAACTTCAAATTATTGATGCATTCACACATTTACATGAGCCACAAACATTCCTTTACAGGGACTGCACTTAGCTACCACAGAACCAGGTTTTGCCATAAACTACAAAACTTTGATACAAAATTGTATTTATATATTTATATTTCATATACATGCCCTATCTGTGATTTCTTAAAAAATAAAAACTAAACACACTGTACAGACAATCCTAACTCGTTGCTTGGTAGCTGTAGGCAACATTTTTGGATGGAATTTCTCCCCCAGTAGAATTAATGGCAATATTATATACATGAAGGCTAAACTGCAGAAAAAGACAGCTCAGTTCTGATATGCACCTCCCTCGGGACCAGGTCTGCAAGTTCAAGGCAAGACACCATATGCTCTGACCCACTGCCTCCCCTACAAGTCAGTTCTGCCATCGGCGGCGTGCGGAACCAATACATGCATTTGTGTAACACTGGTATAAAAGGCAATAAAGCAAGATACATATTATAATGTAGTGGCTCTAATGGCTTCACCGACTTGATACACTCCAGCCACAGAAACACTCCTTACAGGTGGCATGGGGATGGTGTGGAGGTGGGTACATTTGGTGAGAGCACACCTTATGTGGGTCTGATCATTGTACTTCCCTGAAATTACCTCCTGCAGAGGACAGATTCCCACTGTAAGCCAGAGACTGCATCAACTCAAACACTGGGGGGAAGATCCCAACCCCCCCACCCCCAAATGCACACATACACTGTTCACCAGGACTATACGTAAAACAGACACCCGCCCTCCCACCCCCAGCCGTCTCCATGGCACCAGTTTGTCTTAGAAGCAGAGCACTGACAAACCTACTCTTCCCAGGTGATGGCAGCAATCTGTGAAGCCAGTCACACTAAACTACTTCTACAGTTGATTGTAAACTTTGGTTTATTTTTATATTTATTTTTTTTTATTATTGAGTTCTCATGGTACAGCAAGCATGTCTAGGATGAGAGGGCAGAGTTGAAGAGGAGAAGAACTGTCAGTCTGTCTTTAGTCTGGCATGGTGAGACACCTGCTCGGTCAGGCCTGCTTTGATAGAGTTTTTTACAGACTGCCTCATATGATCCTCCATCAAATTATCACTCATGGGCTTCAACACCTGTGGAATGAGAAATGTGCAAAAAAAAAAAAAAAAAAAAAATGAGGTAACCAAGGAAAAGAAAACATAAAAGCATACAAAGAGATGAGACTTGAAATAATGAAAAAACTTAGAATGCTGAAGTCTGACACAAACTGGCATGAACTGAAAGAGAAATGAGTTTTGCTGCTACAGTAATGAGGTTAAATCAGTCACATGCTATGGACACAAGTGAGATCCCTCCTATACAGCAGTATTTCACTGAATTCAAACCACTTTACAGTTCCTAGAAGATGGATGTGCAATTCCATACCCTATATGCAGCATCAGTCTGGTATGGTTACAGCATTTATGCAGACCGGCCCAGACGGTCCAGCTTATTGTCCTATATGTGTAAGTGTGAACACTTCAGATACAGAAAGAAAGTTAAAAATACTGGCTAGTTTTTCTTCTTGTTATTGTTGGATGAGAGTCGCTGTCGCGGCACTGATGTAAGAGCACGGCGAATCGTTCGGCGTCTAAGGACTTCAAAGAGTTTGGAAAACACCTAAAACACGAATTGAGCTGTTAGGAAAAGTGGCTCTTAAAAGGCAGCAGAAAAAGTCAATGAAGTTCAGAAAAAGAAACTGATTGCCAGTAACTTCTCACCTTCCTGGGATTCCTCTGAAGCAAGGAGGGAAAAGAAAGGCAGAGATTCAGAAAAATCAGTCGTCACAAGAACATGGTATATAATCAGAGTGACTCAGACAGGACCTGGACATGCTTTGCATATTATTGGTGATGTGCAACTGTAATGCCACCACCAGCAAGCAGTTTTGGAGACCCTCTTCCTCTAGCCCACAAAAGGGAAGCTCCTGCTAGCATAAGCTAAGTTCTCCCCCTTCCAGGGTGGGTAAGTCAGCAGTCATCAAGCCTTATGTGCTCTAAGTATCTGACAGCAGCAGCTGCACTCAGTGAGAACCACGCATAGAACTGACACCTTCCACTTTTCTTGCAGTGCTCCTCAGCCCCAAGCTCCAAAGCAAGAAGCTATGGTGGTACAGCAAGAGCCTCAATTTTAATCACTAGTTAGGGGTGTAACTCAAAATTTAGTACCTTGATGCTCAATTCCCTCCTACTATTAGAAATCCACTTTTTCCACTCCAGTGGAACTCATAACCTTACCCGGTTGCTCAGACAGGTCTAGCGTACCACTGCCTACGATGAGCCTTGAACAGAGTCATTTTTCAGATGTAGAAGACAGCCTCTGCATAGAAGGCTCCAGTTATTTGCTTGTACCTTGTAGGACCCATTTTAATGTCATCCTAGGTAAGTTCAGTGAGCCCTTTATTTCTAGTAACAGCAGCACCAAAGCATTTCCCTTCTGTTGACACCAGACATAGCTACTCACAATGCTCCAAACACTACTTGTAAGAGTTGGTCAGGAATTCTCTACATTGGTTTTACTAGCACAGCTGTGTCAACTGGATTCAGGCAGCAAAATCTCTGTACAGGTTTTCTCCTCCAGCTTTGGTACTCTTACACTCATGTTGTCTTTCCTTTCAGGAATTTGTCTGTCTGTCAAGTGTTTCTTGCAACAGCAGTTGCACCAACTGAAGTTGTCACAGACAACACAAGTCTTCCTGAAGGAAGAAACTTGCTGCACATCCTCTTGTAGCATTTGCTGCAAGTCAGTCTGGTTGCTGCAAGTCACCACCCAGTTCTCTGTGAGGTCTAATTAGCCCTCCAGTGTCACACCATCAGGTGAGGTGAGAGAGGGCAGCAGTGTTTCACCTTCCCCATTTCTTGCACCACCTGAGATATTTTATCCACCACCTCCATAGGGCAAGTTTATCACTTTAAACATACCTTTAAAAGCAGAATTCCTTGCTCTGAAAAAGTAACAGGATTTTTGAAGAGTCCCTCCACTCTTTACTCTCCAAGCTGCTTTAAGTAACACTTTTTTGCTAATATCCTAAGCTTGTTTAACATTCTCTGTGTGTGGCATCTCTTACTAAAGAGAGCAGTCACACTTCTGAGCCAATTTTTCCCTTTGGCAGCACAAGCATTCTCCATTAGGTCTAGAACCAGCTTTTCACTTGCAGCACTGAACAGAAACCGTTTGATATGTCTGCTCAAGAAAGAAAGATTTTTGCATTAAAAACGGATACCAACCTGTTCCCATATAGCTTCAGCAATCTGATCAATGGCTGTTCCAACTTCTCTGAATTCCCCAGAGTACTTAACGTATGCCCAAGTACAAAACGATATAAGAGCCATCCCCAGCACGAGATTACACAGGGTAGCTATGGAGTTCATACCAAGGAACCCAGTCAGTCCTGAGGTTATATACATGGCAAACATGACTGCAAATAGAGTGGCAGGGGTACGAGCAGCATAAAAGATGTTTTTGCCATCGTTGTGCTTCACAAAGTTTGCATAGATCTCATCGATTTCCACTTCAAGCTGTTCCTGGTAGCGCCGACAGAACTCCTCCCCTCCCATCTTCTTCACTGAGCGGAACTGCCTGACAGCTGACTCTCTGAAATCCTGGTGCTTCCGCTCAAGGTCCGACGGGGCAATGTAAGGCTTATCTCCCCCACAAACCTGTTAGAGCAATCAGAGATGAGGTCATCACACCGAGTATCTTCCGCTGTACAGAAAGAAAACCTGCTCCTCACTGTCCTCCCTCTCAAGCCAGCATCAGACTACCTCCTGCAGCTTTCTTGGCTCTGTAAGCTCTAGAGTCCTGTCTCAGTGAAGCAGCTAAAGGTACTTTGCATCATGGCACAGCAAAAGCCTTATCTCTCTGATCATGTACAGAGCTATAGTACACGACTGAACTCATACTTTCAACTGATTCCTTTGGGCAAGCCCAGAAGGACAAGACATCAGCCACATGCACATTCCTGTTATGAAAAGGTGAAATAAAGGAACACCAGGAAGCAGAGAAAGCTTCGCTTGAGGAAGGTTAAGGACAACTCTGAAGGCCACAAGCCCTCCCCTCAGCTTTTTACTCCTGGTCACCCATCTCAGTGAGAGGGTTAGTGCAGAATTTGGAGAAACAGGGTAAATTTTGCCCACTCAGCAAGTTTATTCCTGTTTGTTGCTGCCACTAGCAGGCTCCATGGAACTTACCAGGTGATATGAATTACCAAGAACTAGCTGCTGACATCTGTAGCCTGCTCTTCCCTAGACTGTCCTCTAGGCTTGATTCTGATCAACTTGTGAGAGTACATTTCTGCTGAAGGAACGAGACCACGGGCTCAAATGGATACCCATGATGTGGACACCACCATCTTCCTCTTCCTGAACCAGCACGTGTATGAAAATGGTTAAGACTCCAAGGACCTCTACTCTGTAAGACTGATTTCTGACCTCTTGAGGACTATGATTAGAGATAACCTAGACCATCAGAGACATACATATGGCAGATCAGCTCCAACTCCTCCAGACCCTCACAGTCAGACTATGTCTAAAAACTGAAGATTCTTTCCATGTGATGTCAAACAACAGCCTTCCCTCTCCTGCCTCAAGGTAGTCTTATCACAGTGCTTGTCATCTCATGTCTTGAGAGCAGCAACAACTTTAACTTTCTCCTGCTGCTATCCCTTCAGCAGGACACATAGAAGATCACTTTCTCAGAGTACAGCATCCCCTTTCTGCCTCACAAGATGCATGGCTTCACTGGCTATCTTCTTCAAGGCAAGCCTCACCATCAAGATCCTGGCACCCCCACTCTGCCCCTTGCTCAAGTTAACAAGGGCCTTTCTGCTTCAACCATCTTGAAGTCCTCCACATCTGGCAAAACTCCGTGGAAAATGGCTACTAGTCTCATCCTCCAAGACTGTCTTTTCACATTGCCCAGAGAGTGTTAAACACCAGGAGCTGCTGATGCATCAAGACTATGATACAAATAACTGCCAGTTTTCTTATAGTCTGTGTGGCTGCACCTGTTGTTCCTTACATTTAAGGTCATTAGGGGGACAGTATTTTGGTTATGCACACTCAGCAAAGGAGGGCTTTGGTTCATGAGGAGAACTCAGAAGCTACAGTAAGAGCTATCTTTACATAATCCAGTCTTAAATCCAAGAATTCCCACTTCTGTTGCTAAAAATAGAAATTTCAGAGCTGTGTCACATTAAGAACATCATCTGAGACATCTGGATAAAAAACAATTCAAGACATTTGTGTGTATCTCTACAATGATATAAAAATATACAGTACAAGGGAACATTACTATGGAAACAAAGTCTGTTTAAGAACATCTGTTCCTGTTTATTCCTTGCCCCAAGTAAGACACCTTACAATTACAGTATCTCAACAGCCATTGAAGATTCAAGGTAGGAAGGCAGACTTGGCATTTATTATAAACAGCCCATTTACTATTTCAAGAGATTTTCCAAAATGGAAACAAATGAAGGAATCCCTCTATACCAGAAGAGCATTCTCAAAACAGCCTGCTAACAACTGGAACTGGCTAGTCTGCCACTAGCATTAGGTCTTACTCTAATTTCAAAATGGAAAGCTACTTCAGCAATTAAGACCACAATTAGCCTAGTTAGTGTGGAGCTATGTTTGTAGCATGTTATCGCACCTACTGGTCTCTTCCAGTTGTAGAGTTTCACAGTAAGCACAGTCCTGTTAAGCTTTACGACACACGTAATTGTTTTCAGAATTTCCTATGATAAAGCCTTCATACTTAAACATAGTGTTATGCAAGTCCATCCAGGCATTCAGCTTGGAGTGGTATCAGTCACTATCTTCAAGAGAAGAACAAGTAGGAAGTTACATATACAGCTTTTTCAGACAAGATAATTCTTGTATTTCAAGTGTTGTTTTTTTTAAAAAACTTTAGAATAATTTTAAACCTTGCATTTTACAGCTAATGAGTGACCACAATTCAGAAGCATGAGACTATAATACTAGAACTCTACCCTTGCAAGACCCTGGCCCACAAATGTCTCCTCAGCTGTTTGCCCGTTTCATGTCACAGGATTTTAAGTTGTCTGTCAAGAGCAGCAGGGGGAACTAACAGGTGGTATCTTACAAACATGACCATTCCCATACCTCCCCAGCAATTTCTGTCTCAAAGAATCCTGGCTTTGCTGCATCAGACATCTAACCTCAGAACAGAGTGCAGAAAACACATGAGTAATGGCCCTAAGCTACTTTTCTTCATTAAAATGCTCACAACCAACACTGAGTACAACGTTAAAACTGAAGGCCTGTATTTGCATGTAGGCAGTTAGAGAAAGTTGTGTCATCATACCTGCTCCATGCCTTTACTGTACAAGTCTTTTGCTCCTGCCACAGCAGCCAGATTGTTCGCCTCAGCTGTTGCCTAGAAAACATTGAGCACCATGTATCATCACGGCATTACCAGCTGCTTACATACATGTAGTTACACTGCCCAACATACCCCCACAACCTCCAAAGCTTCAGATGGCCAGGAAAATGCCCCACGAAAACAAGTGAAGTTAGCGATATACTTTAAAACAGACCACTGACTAGAAGAACATTTTCTTCAGCTCTCTAGTACAGCTGTAGACAAACTCTCACGTGCTCGTACAGGATTTTCATCATGAGCAATCTCCTCTGAATGCTCTGTTGTTAATAAGCAAACAAGGATGATGAAACTATTAAATATTAATCCTGATACATCACTAATTGTGAGGAAAGAAGCAAGCTGGTATTATTTCTGCATTATGTATGTGCAGTTTTGGTGTCAGAATTTGTAAGAATTTAAGATTACTTTCAACCTGTGTCACGTCAGGGACAGTTATTCTAGCTAATGCCGCAAGATGTTATCTTGTGTATTTCCCAGCCACATTTATGGCATGCTAAGTAGAGGAAATGATAGCAGCCTTTGTTTCATTGTGATGAGTTTTCTGAACTCCCCCAGAAGTCTAAAGATTTGGTTCCTTGAAGGATGAGAAAACACCCAGAACAGTCATGTCTTAATGAAGCAACACAGGAAGCTTAAAAAAAAAACCCAAGTCTTACAAACACAAAATGGTTAAAACTGACCCCAAAGCCCACACTTCGGTGAAAGCTCTTCATCCCAAACAATTCAAGGGTTCAACACACAGCTTTATACAATTAGTTTGTGTTCAGATCGCTTTAAAGCTGATTACATCCTCTTTGGATCAACCCAGAAAAGAAACCTCAATGCAGTTATCCAATCTAACAAACCCACATAGAGTAGTCTAACACTGCAATACAGTGGCAATAGCTGCATTGCTATAGGCCTTCTCCATTTTATCTGCTGCATCTGATGCTAAAAGCCCTCTGAATACAGTCTGAAAGGTACTGACAAAATAGCAAGTTAAAGGAAACACATGCTTAGAAATTGAAGCAGCTAAAAAAACCCAACCAACCAGATATACCCCTGCTCCATTCAGTAGATGGAACTGGGGGGAGACACAAATATGTACCCAGACTACACAGTTCAGATGGCTTTCAAAGTACACAGCTTCTTCAAGAACTACATCTCTGTGTGGGAGCTTCAGACCCGCAGCAGTCATGATCTTCGACTGCAAAGAACTTACAAGTACGCATCATCTATCAGATTATTTGAAAGAAAAATAAGATACCTGCAGCATAGACTTTGGATGAGGTAGCTCCTCTCCTTGATAGATTTTAATATAAGCCTAAATGGGAGAAAGAAAGAAAAAAAAGGTTTCTTTTCCTAAACATTTACAACTGAGGAGAAGGAGAAAAGAGGGACGATATAAAGACAGAGCTCATAGATTATTTCTTTGTAATAATGCTATTCAATTAAGCAAATTTCTTCATACAAGTCTGGCATTCTCAGTTATCCCTAGTGCTTTAATCCTTTGACTTTCCTGTGCATTTGAGGCTGGGGCCTAGCAGGGTAGCAGAGCAGCTTGAGGACACATGGCCACTATCTCCAGAAGCGACAGGCTTGACAGCAGGTTTCTGCTCCCTTAAATAAATAAGGATGTCTTGGCTAGGCAGGGAATCTTCACCCAAAACAAAAGAGCAAAGATGACTCTCTCTCACAGCCTTTCTGGCAAGAGGTATGTCCAAACACACCTCAGTGCTGGGAGAACCAGTACTTACATTTCCCCATATGCCTTGCTCCCTTGAAGTGTGGGAGGATAAAAAAAAAAAAGCAGATCAAAGCACTAATATAGACAGAGCTGAGCTGCTAAAACATTTCTGGAAGCCAAGCAGGTCACATCCCACCAATCCTCAGGTGTCCTTTCTTTCACCAGGGTTTCAGAAGGCTGGAAGAGAACATGTCCTTCATGTCGTCTTCTCTGGCCCACATGATGGCCCGTGGCACAGCTCTTTTGGACAGATTAACAGAGGGGGCATAGCAGGCAGCAGTAGCCATTTCAGTGCTTTGGACAAGCTGTGCAAGTTAGACCAACAAGGCCACTCTCAGCCCCTTGGAGGCTGGGCAGTGATTCTTCTTCATGCTACTACTGCTCTCCCTCCCAGCTTGTCTAAAAGCCTCTGCCCTGAGGATTTTTCTCTATAAAGGAGGAGAGAACAAGGTTACCAGGGTCCCTATATAGCTAATGCTCTAGGTTGTAGGACAACCTACAAAAATGTATAGAGTTATACAGGACTCTGTTCCCTTGACACTCTCCTTGCTTCTGTAGCTATTTCCTCCAAGTAAAAGCCCTACAGTTTCCAACTCGGACTTCACGATCTCAGCTTTAGATGCACAGTCCCAAGGGAGCAGTCCTCCTTAGTTACATAACCACAGTGTTTCCGCAGCACCCGGCATGACTGCTCCCAGACTGGATGTGGGATGTGAATCAGGCAGCTTTTCAATCGAGGAGGTTTTACATTCAGTTTTTAGGGTGCAGTCCTTTCTAAACTGCTGTTGAACGCACAACTCCCTACACTGTAGAGGATCAGGTCTTATTAGAGAAGACAGTGGAACAAAAAGCAGCATGCAACCATGTAAATACAGACTGAACATACGAGCTCCAGAGTGCTGATTTTATGCATCTCATATCACGTCTTTCCTTTAGGAAATGTTACTTCATTTTACAAGTGTTAAAGAGTTCTGGTCTCAGATTCCTCCCTTGCACAGCTTCTTTCTTAACATCAGCCCAACTCTGTTCTACCTTCAACACGCGTACTCAAAAGTAGTAATGCAAAATTAACTTTCTCCTACCAAGCCAAGTAAGTCATTCCAATTAAAAAAAAAAAAAAAATTACGCACACCAGATCAATTCCTGGTGTTGTAGGGATTATGTTATCACATTTCTGCTGCTGTCACCATGATACTAACACAGCTCAAGAGTCTAACAGCTGCAAGTATCATACACAAATATTTCAGAACATACAGTGGCGCTGCACATGCAAGTGTTTAGAAAGCATCTTCCTTGCATGTTAAAAATCCAGAGGGGAGTATCTGAAATTTTCACTGCATACCTAGCAGTTTAAGAGCTGGTTTTCTATCGGTACAATCTACATGAGACCCTTTTTTAAAAAACAAAGGCAACATATCCAGACAAACTAGGATTTCAAAGTAGGAAAAAAATCTCTAATACAGCTTGAAGTATTTCAGCACATTTACAAAGAAAAAAGAAAAAGAAAAAAAGAAAAAAAAACCACACAGCACAATTCTGCCAATAGTAGCTTGCCAAGAGCTATACTGTTAGGAAGTTGTGTGCCAGTTCTGCAAAGTCAGAGTAATAAAATGAAAATAAAAGTGAGCTGATCAGTGAGCGGCAGCCTAGATATCTTATCTTCTCTGGGAACAACATGTCCTAAAATTAGAATATTTTCTTTTAAGCCATTAACAGAAATAATTAGTATGAGTTTGCTTACCTTGAAGTATTCTACAAGATCTCTACAGGTCACCTTGGATCCACTAATCTCTTTTTCTACCAAGTTTTCAGGGGCAAGCAGTAATGGTACCAAATTCCGCAGTTCTTTCTTAAAATCCTCATCTATATCTAGTAAAATTCAATCAATTTCAGAAAAAAAAAAAAGTGGTTAGATCTCTTTTCAATCTTACATTTTCTAAAGGAACACTGATAACCCCTGACCCTTCAAAATCCATAGCGTCACAACTTTTGACTGCATTTTTAAGATATTTAAAGGCTTAAATACATACTATAGCTTTAGTAAATTCTATCTAATCTTTAATCTTAACTTCAGACAGAGAGAACAAAGTTCCATAGTCCTTGTAATATTTAAAGTGCGTTTCTCCAAAAACACCAACATCTTACACAATAATCCCACAAGTCTGCGCCCTCAGCACAGAAGTGGCTGGCACCCCACTATTGCAAACCCACTTTTTTAGCCTTTGCCATTCTGATACATTCCCTTTGTTGGGGGACAAGCAGCAATTGGAGGAATCCCGACCGCCTCTCATTCTGCAGTAGCAGAAGCCTGTAGCTTTTATTTTAAAGTCATTCTAGTTCTGACCTTTGGTTTAGCAAGTTCTTAGAGAAAAGCCTTTCAATTTTAAGAAAGTAAAGTCTTTAATTTTTTGAATTCTCCTCTCTGGAATCCTTATTTATCTTTAGAATCCTTATTTAATGACCTTTAAGTATGTCTCAAGTTATCAGATTACAATCAACAGCTAGACACAAAGATATCCATTCCCTCTGCCTGCTTAACTCCTCTACCTTTAAACTACTGAAAAGAACACAAAATGCACATTTCTAGATTCTGTAGTTTCACCTTTTAGCCCTACATTTTTCCAATCAAGCATTTCAAGAGCCAACCATTTCAGTGTTTAACTCCCATTATAAAAGAAAATAAACTCAGCGATCTGAATCAAGAAATACACAATGGAAAGCTTCCTACCATTCAACCTCCCATCAAAATTTGGATTTGTTGCAACTTTAAGACCAGGGTGGGGCAACAGGAAACAGCCAAGATTACTGAAACAGGAGTGAATATGCTTCCTTACATTCTGTAGCTCTTCATGTTGGTTTTGCTTTACCTGAAGAAAAAACCAAAAGGCAGTAAGAACTGCTAACAGTTTTGCAGTACTGCAATTAAGATTAAATATCAGCTTAAAAGCAGTAAGAGCACATTCCTGCACCTAAAAATGTCAAGTTCTAAACGTCAGAACTCCACACAAGTGGGAACATCACAAACGTATTTTATTAGCACAAAGAGTTAGCTCATCATGCATCATTATCTTGGTGGTTAGTTGTCATTTAAGTTAGAAGACCACACTAGGACTACTGGAGATAACTTACCTGCAATCTTTTCTCTAGGAACTTTTTTCCTCCTTCCAAGCCATATGCATGTTCATAAGGATAACTCCAATCTCTAATTAAGAACATGAGTGTCTGTAACAGGAAGAACAACAGCAGCAAATGGCTTGCGTCATTCCTAAAGTAAAAAACTGTCACACGTGATTATTTTAAGTAAAAAAATCTCTAAGCTTGGCTGCTCTAAATGAAGTAGCCTTGTAGTTTTGTGGTGCGTTTGAAGCGTTTGCTTGTTTAAAAACAAACCAACCAACCCACATACCAAACCCACAAAGGCAACTCACTCATCTGAAAGGAAGTACCCAAGTGTCTCAAAAAGATAATTTCCCTGTTCCATGGGTTTTCCTTTTGCTGTCCCACAGGGATTATTACACTGTCCTCTCTCCTATTAGCTGAAGATAGAAAACAAACCTTGACATTACTCTCATATCAGACAAGGTGCTTTACAAAGAATGAATCTTGCTTGGGCAAATGACAAGAACATTGAGGACTCGCACTTGCAAGCTGAATATTCTAGAGACACAAGAGTCTTAAAACTCACCACTAACAGCAGTCCACTAGTACTCTTATAGGTTAAAGGGGATACTTCAGGATGGAAGAGATCTCCATCTTTGCCTCCACTAAATAGAAGAAGCCTCAAACCCTTCTCTGGCCTAGCAAACAGTCTGGAGATGCTAGCAGTTTTGAGGTTTTTAATGCTGAAGCCAATAAAGCTTCAAGTAAATGAAACGCAACATGGCCCTCCTCAATGCTATTTCTTAGAGGCCACATGACCTTTACTCAGAACCATGTACCACCAGCAAAGACCAACCATATCTCAAAAAGTAATGAGTAAGAAGGCAGGACGAAACTTTTCTCCTTAACGTCTGCAAGTCACTTGACACTTTCACTCCTTTTATGCCTTACAACTCAGGCACAAAGCTGTACTTGCCCAAAACATGATCCTCTTCAGCATTTTCCCATTGTGTTTTTGCCAAGAAATGTGGTGACAGGGAAGGAAAATCAGCCTTGTAAAGAACAGGCTAGCTTCAGCCCGCTAATTTCTCTTCATAAATTATCCTGAGCTCACTTTCTACACATTCAATTGCTTAAAATCCATTTAACATATATAGTTACCTGAAACGGCTTTTGGTATATTTCTTCCATAGCTAGTCTTCCATATTCTGTAAACAACTGATAGAAAGAAGAGCGTAAGGGTGCCACACATAAAACACATTTTTCTACTGTAAAATATTCTGTCACTAGAAAATAAAGTATTCTATCTTAAATCTTATTATGCGCTGAGAATGGCCAATACACCTAAAGAACAAGTACACCAATCCTCAGTAAAATTCAGGAAGAAGGCATGATTTCGCAGTGCCATTCCATAACTGTCAACACACCGCAGCTCTAAGTGGGTGGCCTGTGGGCTATTCTCAGAGGAAAGCTGGCTGTGTCTCTCAGCAAGCCAGTTTCCAACACTTGTTTCCTAGGCTAAGGAGGTAAGCCTGTCTAACATTTGCCCCTTACTTCCCACAAAAGATTTATTCCTGGAAGTCTCAAGGAACTTGGCTAGAGCCAATGTATCAGACATTTAAATACAAGCCAAGTTCAGCAGCTTCCCAGATATCTACTTCAGCCTGTGACCTCAACTGATAATTGTTCTTTCCTGCCAGTATAAAGGCAAGTGTCACCTGTCTTCCTCTCATTGCTTTCACCATCTTTAATACCAGCAGCAGCATTCTTCACTGGACTGAGTGGGTCAGACAACCCATGAGAACATGAATTCTGGACTGTGCTAGCTGTTTCAGCAGAGGTCAATACTGTCAGGTGTTGATCCATGCTAGCCCCCTTACAGATCTTGGAGGTTGAGAGGAAGGAAGCACACCAGTATCCTCTAGTACCAGGCAACTGTTCTTCTGCATTAAAACTAACTCCTGGAACATCTCAGGTAAACTGACTAAAAGGACAGTTCCCCCCTGTGTTGATCACAAGAGCACCTGAGAACTTACAAGATTAATTTAACACAAATTAACTTCCAGGCCCTTGTCACTCTGAGGAAAAGCAGCTCTGAAGTGACCAACCACCCATATGAGACTGGCTCCTTTGATCCTAACTGCCTACCCCATTCACTTCCCTGCTACATGGAAAAGGCAGCCAGAGACTAACAGTATTTCAGAACAACAGAAATTCCTGTTATAACAGAAATTCAGAATTTCCTTCGCTCAGCTTACATTCCTTGCCCCAACTTTAAATGCATAGGTGTCCCCCTACCTACTGCTTATATTTATCACTCTTCTTTTCCCTTCCTGCCCTCAAATCTCACCCTCCAGTATAACAGAAAGGGATCGCTCTATTCAGATTGCACTGAGGCTGTCAAAGGACCAAAGTCATGAGGAAGGCCTGGCTTGCAAATAATTAGCTAAGGCTTGTTTAAAAAAAACCTGGTTGGTTTTTTTTGGGGGGTGGGGGGTGTTGGCCCAGTGATACAACTCTGTTAACTGAGAACAGCATCACAAGGCTATGTTTAGTTAGTGCTCTTCTACTTCCAGTATTGGCAGCCAGTCTCTTGCAGCACTGACCAAGACAGAATTCCTTTCAATCAGAAGACACGTAAAACAGTTATAAGCTGTGACAAGGTCATGGCCTGAGCACAGGCAGGCATTTGTTGATACACAAGCTAGCCTTTAAAGCTACAGGTTTTAACTTAAGGAGATAAGGTTCTTGCACCATTCACATGAAGCCAGAATTCAGTGGCCTTTGACCACAATGTTCCATTAGAGGATGAAAACCCCCAGAGTAAAGACAGGACAACTCTTTCCTGCTTTTGTTTCTAAGCAGAAATAAAACTCTGTAGAAGTTTCTCAGTTGAAAAACTAGAGAATGCTTCTGGGTAGAAGATAACTCTTTCTGCCCTGACCCAATCTCCCACATTTCTTTAGAAACTGGTTATGAAAAACCATCCATCTTCCTATTTTAGCGAAAAAGGAAAAACATTGAAATTTTCTCATTAAGTACTTCCATAAATCATTCTCCTTTCTCATCCTTTCAGGAATTTCACAACTTACCATACAGAGAACAGACTTTAGAAAGATAAGGTTTAGCCAGATTAGAAGCCTGTACTATTTTACCTCTGCACTGGCACAGTAGAAGCATCACAGCATCATGGAGTTGATGCAAATAATGTTGTTATAGGCAGTACTAATTTTAGCATCAGGTCAGCTTCAGTGTTTTATAGGAAGTAGCAAGCAGCTCCCAAATCACAGTTACATTAGTAGTAACTTCAAGAACAATGTGAAGACTATCACTTCAGAGGCAGCTTAATATAAATTCAGCATATTCTTACCTGCAAATGTTGAAGGTCATCTTCCTGAATATTCTGGGACAAGTTGTATACCTGCAAAAGACAGTAAAAGAATTACAGTGTAACATCAAACCATTATCTTACATTCATGTAGTCTCTTAATTATCCTGAGCATTTTTAACCCCTCAGGAGAAGTCTAACTACCAAAAAGTCAGCAACTAGAAAGGTGTCACAGAATGCATCTCAAAAGTCACTTCCTTATACAAAGTGCTAGGGACAAAACCACTGCTGACTACCCTAGCCCTTCTTAGAACAGCTTTTTTCCAAGGAAGCAAGCCATAAAGGAACCAGAAAAGACTGCCGAATGCTTCAAATAACCACATCAGCATGAGAGAGGAGTATTAAGAAGGGCATGTCTGTTTGCTATCCTCAATTTCAAGTGCTCTAGGATTCAGTGATCCAGCAGCTGCATATCCAACACAGAAATGACTGGGTACTTAGTTCACCAGCTTTTTTTGCTTTCTAATCTTCCCAGAGATATCTGATTTTATCCAGGAAGCTTGTGACTGTTTCAGTAGCACAAATACTGAACAGCAGTAAACTCAAAGATGCATCAATAACCCACAACTTATCCTAACCACAGGAACAAAACAAACAAACAAAAAAACACCAAAAAACCACCCCACAGGGCAGAAGTAGTGTTCTACATAATCCTGTTACTTTCATGTTGTAGCATGTCTGAAGAAGGTCATTTGTCATCCCTCAAAAACCTGCTCACTTCTGGCACATTTAAGGCACAAGCTTAAACGTAGTTTTGGGTGTAGCACAAGAGAATCATCAGAAGTTTAACAGTAGCAGAAATTGTAAGTTTAGCTGATCACAGTGTAATTCCACACTAAACTATCTAAAGTCTTAAAAAAGATTCTGTGACACATCTGTACAGAAGCAGTTGCCATTTTGACATCTTTTTTTGGGATTCCCCAGTTCAGTCAGCAATTTAACTCAGCTTGGCCTTGGATAACCTTGATTCCACAGAGAAACTTATATAGTATACTACACTGAAAATAAGATGGTGAGTACTTTTTTTTTTTTTTTAAGTATGACAGCTTAAATGATAGCTGGAGGAAGATATATAGGTGTACTTCCAAAGTGTGGATACACAGATATTCTTTGCATGTTCAGGATAGAGGGTTCCTATAGCTGCTATTATTTGCCAGTATGGGTATTCTCACCTGGACAGAACTCGTCATGGTGCTCAGAGCAAAAACCGTTGCACAGTCTTTGATAGTGGATTGGCTATCAAAGGCACCTTGGGTATCCATGAGTAGTACAGCAACCTAGAGAGTTTTGAAGAGCAGTAATAGTTAACCAAATTAACACTTTCAAACTCCTGGCCATTGAGAGAAACTCTATTTCAAGTAGTGCAAGTCTCTGCCCCTATACCTACTTATTAGTGAGTCAGCTGCCTGTGCACATGCCTATACACTCCTACAGCCGAGTAAGCAACAACTAGAAGGCCATGTCATCAGCCTTAAGTCCTTGGCCTTGCTACACTAGTTACCCTCTCCCACAGAAATAGCCTCCCTCAGCCCAGTGAGGGTACAGCGCAGAGTAACAGACAGCTCTTATTCACTGGAAGAACTTCAGTCTTAGCTGACAATCCAGCATAGTTCATTAGAGCTGAGTGAGATGCTTACTTCTAAAAACATATCTATCTTAAAATAATTATTTTCAGAAGAAAACAAGATAATTGATACTGACTGTCTGCTGGAATGACAAGGAATAAAATGATCTTAATGATAAAAGTTAATCTGTCCCAATTCCCGTCTTTGAGTTCTACTACAATTCCCTTCTCTTTCAGTTAGAAATGACTGATAAGCAAGAACAAGCGAGTGATTTGTCCCCAGAACACAAACAGATCCTCACAACTTAACTTTTTTAGCCGGAGAACTGTTTGGTTACGTGTGAAATTTGATGAAGCTTCCTGAACGCCCCTAAGCCACTATCTGTTTAAGATCAGTGTCCCATATTAATTGGCATCAGATGTTTCCTTTGCAAATGCAAAGGGTATGAAAGTTAAATAACTAAGAGCTTATGGTTCAGGAGAACATGAATAGCTCAAGATACACCACTAGTACTGTGGAGCAAATATTTATTAACAACATTAACACTTTGTTTCAGCATGAAGATAAACACCTACAACCAAACTTTGTAGTTAAACTGACTTAGAGTTTAAAAATATGCACCAGCTTTGATTAGAATAGGGTTAGTGCCTTTTATCCCACCGTTGGACTTAGTCCTTTTTTATAGATTACCTGTTAAACTATATGAAAGAACCAGCTTCCAGACACTGAAGGTGTTTCCAGTACTTATAGCCATGCATTACGTTTCACTAGAAGACAGCTACAAGCTAGAACACATTCTCACCTCTCAAAAAACAGCGTTTGTTACAGAGCAGTTCTTATCACAGCATTTGTCTATATATGGTATTTATAGCCATTACAGTCTTACAACATCCACAGAATAACCCACCCATCAGCCTGGACAGAGCAGACTTTGCCAAAACAAAGTACTCTCAGAATTGGATTATTGTTGGAGATGGAATCTTATAACCCAGCAGGAAAATTCATACTTGCACTGATATAAGGTTTCCAAATACGTTACACAGCTACTGAATGCAAAGGAAAGCAACTGATGTTTGAACTGCCTCCATTAAACCCATGGCATTAAAGGTATACACACAGAGGCAAAAATCCTTACAGACACCTATTTAATTCAAGCACTTACCTTTGTTCCATTGGGTTTATCAATTACAAACACTTCACTCCAAATCTGAATGCCAGTAGTTTCCCGTTCACATCCACCTCTCCATGTAAACCCAGTCAAAGGCTCAGTGTTTCCACCTATCCAGCAAGGAGAAGTCTACAAAACAAGAGGAGAAGCTTATTTAAAAACAAGGAGGAGATTTTTTTTTTTTAACATGCTGTCTTAGCAGACTTCCACACTGTTCTCTCATTTTCCTCAGAGCCGACTGACAGCACTACACAAACTATTAAAACACAGTGCTACTCTGCTGTGTTTCAAGGATCATCCACAAAGAAATGTTGTTCGAGCCTACTGTATTTCAGCAGTTGCACAGCTCTTCAGCCACTGAAGAGCATATATGCATAGCTTTCAAGTCTCAAGTGCTCAGAGCTAATGAGCACAGCTCAGTTTGTCCATTGATTCCCCTTTGCACTCATGCTCTTCTCTCACAGTTGAGAGAGCTCAACTCCAACACTGTTGTAAATAGCATGTATTTTAACTACAGGAACAGCTAAACCTCTGCAAGGAACAAAAAAACCCTTACTTTGACTTAATCCTCTCCCTTCCTCCACACAAACAGGTCAACTGCTGAAACTAGCTAAGCATCTAAGCTCCTGCACTAACAGAGGCCAGCACAAGACTCCCAATGCCAGTTTACAGAAGCCAAATAGGCAAGGACCAAAAGATCTACAGTCTGTACTTGTCACAGTTACAAAGTACTTTTTCCTAAGTGATTAGAACTCAAGAGAAAAGGTCATGTTGAGAGTTTGATACGTGTCAATCAACCCATCCATATTAAAATCTTATTGGCACATGCTCACTTTGGGAAAGGTTATCAGAGGGTCAAGTACAGTTCACAGCTAACATTTCTGGCTGGTCCTCAAGGACAGGCAACATACAGAGCAGTGGCTCATGCAGAAGAATCCAGCCATTATATGAGCATATTTAACCCAGAAATGTACTTTATGTACTGGGCAAGTAAGGAGCATGAACAGGCACCCTGAGGAAGTTTCACTGTGGTATATTTATATATACTGAAATCCTACAAGAGAGAAGTGGTAGCCAAACAATAGCTTTACTGATAAGGGGGCTTAGAGAAAAACCGTAATTTCACAGGCTAGAACACAGCATGCTGGCAGAACAGAAAGAGATATTTAATGAATTTGCCTCTGACTGGCCAGAGAAGATTACCAGCCAGGAAAGTGTGCTCTTTGAGAAGGTCAAAGGGGAGACTTCTCAATTCACTAGGCTATAGTCTCTACCTCTCTGACTCTGCACCGGCAGTTTTCAGAAAAGAGCTCTTCACATCTCAGAAAACAGCATGAGCACCCAGGGGCTGTACAAAATAGAAATACTTACTACAAATAAGTGAAACTGCTTATTTCTAAAAGGGGATGGGAAAAAAAGCTGCACACATTCCTCATACCTAGCAGCATGGAGAGCAAACCATACTAAGAGGGAAAGGCAGTCAAGCAGTTCTGCACCAGCATTCTCCCAAATGCTAAGTGCACACCATTCACCTCTATTTGGATCAGACACGGCAAAAGTAAATGAGACAAGCAGATAAAAATTCAGGAAATTAACACAGGTATCCAAGTGAAGAGAACACCACCTCTTTACAGGTAGGTTGTTTGGTTTTTTTTTCTTTTGTTTGTTTGTTTCTTTTTTTGGTTTGTTGGTGAGTTTTGTTTTGTTCAGGGGTTTTTTTATCATGCACATACACCTCTACCAGAGAGACTAAGCAAAACCTAAACAGCTTTCCCCTGGAATTTTTTTATCCCAGAAGATACTTATGCATCCACTGACCACTCTAGAAATCAAAGCTCCAGGCCTACTTTGGACTTCTGTACACTCCAGAATACAGTTTTGCAATGCTGAATCATATTTCACAGGTATATATCAATGGACTGTAGCTTTTCACTTTTTCAAAAGAATCTGTTACATTATTCAACAATATGTTCCATTTGTCATTGATACAAGAATACTTTTTCCCAGTTTGGTCCAGAAATTAGCCTTATTTGTAGCAATTCAGACCAAAACTACACAACTCTGTTGACAAGTTCCTCAATAAGCACTAGATATGACCACATTAGATTTCATATGTGATTCATGTCACCAGAGACTTTGGTGTCTTAACAGGTACAACTTCAGCTGAAGCTGCTTCACCTTGTGGGTGATGCACTTAAGCCTGTCTCTGGCTGACCTTTGCATCAGCCCAAAGCACTCCTAGCCTGTTACCTCTGTCTCTCCTTAGTTAAAACTCAGTATTTTAACAGACTCCATACATCAAGTTGGCTTGAAAGATATTCAAAAGATGGGAGGAGACAAAAAAGACTTTGTTCCTACATGAAGTCAAGCTAGAAGTTGCACTACAATTTTGTATCAGTCACCTAAAAGATAACCTCTCTAAATATATTCCACACTAAGGAAAGGACCAATGTAGCTTTATTTGCATAGTGACATTAGTACGCAGTGCACCTTGCAGATTAATACAAGCTAAGAAGGTCATACCCCTGTAAAAAAAAGCCTTTCAATCTGAATTTACTGGTGCTACTGCACCCAACTCTTAATAAGGCTTAAAGCACAACAAAGATCACAGGATCCTTGCAGCAGCTTGCTGAGTACACGACTGCTGCTGTTTTGTGGCAGATTATTCTGTTCCATTTCAAATTAGCAACCATAACACTAAGTATCAGTGCTTGAAATGAGATGCCCACCTCCCTGAAGTTAGTGACCAACCTCAGCCATGTCAAAATCCTACCTGTGACTTCAACTGGCACAAGTGAGATTTTTAGAATGGTAACTTTTCACCTGACCTCCAGCTCTTGGTTTAAGACAAGAAAATGGGTTTCTGAAGTATCCTGGCAAGTTTTTCATCATGCACGTTAATATCCACAGGGGAGGATATCCCAAAATTGCCTGATTAGCACATGAACTGAATGCCAATGCTTTAGTATTTTGTGTAGGATCCAATATTTAGTTCACGGAAAATACAGACTTGTAATTACACCTGACTGAAGATGGAACAATCAGACTAAAGAGCACTATAAAACATAGCAAGGCCTTCCCTCCTGTACTGAAATTTGTATAAGCACAGAGGATACCATTTAACTTGATACAATTCAGCAGTGCTCAACAGAGGAGACATTGCACTTATCTTCTCTCATCCCCAACTTCCATCAATCATTTTGCAGCCACTCTGACGCTCATCAACTCTTTCCCTTAAGCCAGTTTACGTCACTGAGCTGGCAGGAAAACAGTTCGGCGAAGTACAGTCTTCTGATGCATCACTGAGTTCGATCAACTCAACTAAGGGTCTGCAAGCATTACAACTTCAGAATGCAAATGCCTGGCCAGAAGCAGCACATGGAGAGCAAGACCTCTCTGCTTTTGGTAAGAGATAGCTGTTACAGTAGATGGCCAAGTTTGCCTTCATCTTCAGTTTAAGTGAAACAAATGGTATTTTGAAGGACACATACAGAAAACTGAAAAAAGCAACTGCACAATAAAAGAAACAGAGAGGCATGGTATTACACGAGGCTGAAACAGTGTTTCAATCCATTTTGCTTCATGAACTTTTGTTTTACTTCACAATCTGAAAGTTAAGAGCATTTGCTTAAAGCCCACCCCTTCTACTTTCAAAAAGAACTAGCACTACGTCTACCCAGCCACCATCTAGCTCAGACTGCCATACTTCTTGGGAGTTCAGGGTTTTTGTTTGTTTGGGGGTTTTTTTGTTTGTTTTTAAAATAAACAGGACACTAGAGAGGGTTTATATACACACACAGAAGGCCACCCACTAAACAGTTATATCAATGAAACATTTATTTCTCCCTAATTTAAGAGAGTCTTAAGAAGTTGGGAGCACCATCTTGCTACTCTGTATTCCTCCTACCATATCCTCAGTGTCTTTCTTACAGAGCTGGCAAATCAGCGAGAGGAATTCAATAGCAGGCACTACTGGGAGTGAGAGAAAGGAAGTCTTCATCTGCCAACTACCAGCAGCTTCTTTGCAATATTCCCGTATTTCCTGTAACTGCAGGGTTCATCTTGATTTCTCCTCAAGCCAGCTAGCATAAAGGTAAAATAGATGCAGTTATGGTTAGTTTCTGCTACTGTGAATTCCAACTCCGAAGAACAGTGACAAAAAAAGGAATCAGTTCTGCATTTTTAAGAGCTTCGAAAAGCAACAAAATACTGAATTGTCAATATTCACTACGCAGACTAAAAGAAACAAACCACAACCTGTGACAGGCAGATATTTATGTTCACAGGAAGCCCTACCCTGCCTTCTCCGTATCAGCCAAGAGTTCAAAGTATAAAAAGCATTTTAAAAGTTACTGGATTATGTTCAGAGACGCATTCCAAGCAGTAAACAGGAGACTTTCTCCCTTTTGCCATACCTCAGATTTAAGCAGATTTAGGCCTCCAATAACTATCCGATAAGACTCTTCTTTCTGCAACAATGGGTAAGCTATTGCTACAATATGATTTCAGGAGATCAAGTCAAAGCAAGATCCCTCCAAGCCACCACCTGGATAAGCCCTTCCCCAAAGCTCAACTAGAAGGCCACCATGCTCCCTCATTCAAGTTCTTCTCATGCCCACTTAAATCAGAACACCAATAAATTCCCTTGGTAACTGCAGGAAAATTTATATTGAAAAACTGTCACTTGAATACACTTCTTCACAGAGTAGAAACAAGAGTAGCTGGCTTCCCCACCCCCCAGTAAGAAAAATTTGACCTGCTACATTTGTGCTCAAGTCAACAAATACAATGGTAAATGACTAAAATACCAAACTACTTTTCTCCTGCAGGGAAAATCCAAATTACTCACCCTGTTATACATGTATCTAAGCATGAAGTCCAGCAGAAAAGATTTTCCTTTGCGGAAAGCTCCTGCTACAGACACAACTACTATGTTAAGATCTTTGATGTGTTCCTGAAGCAAGATTTTCTCCAATGCTTCTTCATCTAATTCAAAGTTATGGTCATCTTCATGAGCAAGAACAATCTGTATGGGGCGCGGCTTATCCAAATCCACCTCGTCATCTGAGTCTGGCAGGGCATCTGAGTCTGGCAGGGCATCCTCCTCCTCTTCTTCCTCATAATGCTTACCTGCAAATTGACAGGTTACAACATATTAGTAAGTCAGAGCTTAGGGCACTAGACGTTTCTTTGAAGTGAAGCCTTGAGCTGGGCTTTCATTCCCAGCAGCAAGAGTGATGTTCTTCAGAACGCACATGTGCAGACAGCGAGATCAACAGCAGTTCCCTGTCCCTTTTCATCAGCTTTGCATATTGTCTACATTTCAGATCTTCAGCATTCTCCATGTTTTAAGAAATCACAAAAGAAAACTGGTTTTCAGCATCAAAAACCCCTTTTAAAGGCTTCTTAAGTATAACTTCCCTTAAAACTCAAGGGCCTTTTATCTGGAAAAAATTAATTAGTTTAAAATAAGCTCCAAAGAGGACCAAAAAAGGCCATTTTTAGATCACCACCTTATATTTGGGGGGGTGGAGAAAAAAAAAAAAAATCAGTTTTGCTTGCCAACATGTACAAGCAAGACCACTGATCTAGTATGTAACCCCAGGATTACACACATCAGCAGATGACCAAATTCCTCTCCAATTCCAATACATTACACCTGTCTCAATTCTCGGTAAAGCACAGACTTCAGACTGCCTATTCACTGCTTGCAAGAGGATAAACTCCTGAGCACGTGCAAGGCCTAACACTTCTGGGATAAGAGAAACAAAACATATTGAAGTAGTTTCTGGCTTCATACTCTTCCTATTACATTATTAAGCAAGATTTAATAACAGTAAGTAGCAACTCTTTCAAAAAGAGTTAAATAGTGTATAAAACATTCTCTTAAGAATCAATACCCTTTCAGGATCAACCAGTAGCTGAAAGAACTATAACTCAGATGAGACTGAAGTTACTAGCGAATGATAAATTGAGGTAACATGGCCCCTCAGACATACAGCACAATAGTACCAATATCCGATTTTCCTGACTTCAGGAATTCAGGAGTTATTGGGTTAGAGGCCTAGAAGAAAACCAAATGAACTGACCTGTCCAAGATGAAGTCTCCTCTCTTGTTCACGTACTCCAACATTGAAGTTTGTCCCACAGCAGAAATGAACTCTACCACTGGCCTGATTCCACTTTTTCTATCAAGCATCTGGAAGCGCTTTTGCACTTACAGAATTGCCTCCAACTCCAGGTTTACATTTTGCCATATTGTCAGAACCCCACGCGCACAAACCTGATTGAGGCGCCTTCCAGTTACTTATCTGGGAACATCACTGTATGAATTTAAGTACCTTGGACTGCTAGTCATGCTTGCACTTCCAAGTGTTGCTTTAATGAAGGCAAAGCAGCAGCCACCTCCAGTTAGTCGATGCATTGCATGCAGGTATGTTACATGGCCCTCATGCCTCCTGTGGAAGCAACCCAGAAGCAGTGTTCTCTTGCAGGATGTGTCATGAGGCACCATGGAACACACCACAGTTTAATTCATTCGTGGCAGAGACCCTGCCAATACCCACATGATCTGCCAAGTCATTCCTGCCAGACTTTGCATCCTAGATACCATCCTTAGCAAAAGGCTTACGAACAGTGCTCCAAAGCACTCTGTTTTGCTGATGTAATGAGACATTTGAGTTACTACCGTGAATTTGAAAAACTGGTAACTCGGTGACCCTGGAGTTTTCCAGCAGCTGTCTCTTTAGCCGGTTCTGACATTTCACTTCATTGCAAACCAAAGAGGACATTTCCATTTCCAAGCATCAAATCTGTGCTGCCTGAAAGGCCAGTGGCACTAAATCTTAAAAAGATTGGTTTTAATATATTAAGCTAGAATAGTTTGAACAGGAAGTAAACTTCAGTGCTTAAATTCTAAGCAGCTAGAACTAAACTCCAACATTATCCAAGCAGGTGTGCAAAACAGTCCCCAGCATCACCCTAACTCAAACTGGTTGACAAAGCAGGCCAAAAAATTCAACTGCACCAGCAGGCCTGACAGTTGGAAGGAGTAACTTTAAAAAGAAAAGCTGTCAACAGTACACCAAACTGTACAAACTACATTGACACAATGTTGATTGCCACTTCAGAAGAAAAACTCCCACCTCTGGCCTAAAGCTTTTGTATTCCCAGAAATGAAACAAGCCCTCTTTTTTGAAAGAGTTTACAAAACAGGTTTTGCCCCACATAGGTAGCATCCTTTGTAGGCCAGAAAACTTGGGAGGATAGCCCAGGTGAGGTAGGAAGATTTTCACAGTTAGAAAGAAAGCCTTCAGCATCACAGCCTAGAAACATAAAGGCAATAATTCTATTGATAAAAGCATTAAGATTCAATAGCTCCAAGAAAAGACGCCCGTGTTTTAGCAAGCCGATATTCACACAATGTGTCAAAGCCTCTGCTTCTACATATTCCCCAGGCAACAAGTTTAACTTCATTACTTAAAACAGCCTTATATTCTTTTATTTAACTGCATACTTGACTTCAGCTGCAGTAAAGTATCAGTTTTGTAAACTAAGGTAGATTGTAAAAATAGTCTGAAGCAACATCTGCAACTTCTCTTCATTCACTTGGAGCCTGACATTAACCATCTTTTCCTACCTGGAAGTCAACAGAACCTGAGCAGACCTCAAAGCACAAGCTGTAGCAGCATCCTTCTGCCAGTGCAGAGCATAGCCACCCAATGCCTCTTCAAGCCACGCAGCTTTCCAAACAAACGAGTGGTCTTTTATCATTAGTTATTTCTAAACAAGCAGATCCTCTCTATCACAAGTAGATAGCACTATCAAGAGCTTACACACAATATGCCCTTTAAAAGCTCACAACGTCTTGTTAACAGTATTCTGCACCCCTGGAGCTCGCTCAGCTAAGAGGGGACAGGAGAGAAGATTCATCTTAGGCCCTACTCAATTCCTATTAGATTTCACTTACCCGCAGGAACTGCAAAGTCAAGTCCAGAGCATCAAGTTGGACTTCTTGTCTGTTTTGGGTCAGGTTGGTTTGTTGGGGTTTTTTTTGGTTTGGTTTTTTTTTTTTTTTACTATCCAGCCTGCTATATCCAAAAGCTCCCAACCTACCTACAGAAAAGACCATCATTGCCATGAATCAAGCACTTAAGATGGTGGAGAGCTACAGTGTTGACAGCTGTAAAGGAAACTTGATCCATCCAGAAGAGCTGGTTTGATAACTTCATGCTCAAGTTGCTGAGAACACCCTTCCCTTCAAGGGATTGTGAACTAGTTAGCAATTACCAGCACAGACGTTGCACAAGTTAAGCATGTTAACTGTAGAACAAGTGCTACTGCTCGTCCCAGCAGCGTAATCAGCATATGCTAACCTGTCACATGTGCGTAGGCAGATATCACAACCTTTTTGGTCCTTCATACAACCTTCTGGCTGCTTACCCTGTTACTCTGGCTAGTCAATGTCGCAGGCAGCACTGGAGTACTTTGGAAGCCTTTCTAGAAGGCTTCGGCATCCTGGGCAGAAGGATCACATTCCACTTCCAAGAACTACTTTCAGAGCAGTCTCTCAAAAAAATTGCCAGGACAAGAAGTCCCACTTCACAGTCCAGTTTTCTGCAAAAGCTGCAGAAGCATTGTAGTAAGTTATGTAAGTAGTTCATAAAATAAGCGTGCTGATAGCACTGTCAAGTCAAGTCAGGCCAGGAGTTAATGAAATTCAGAACATGAAGCCTTACTCCTTAATTCTCCCCACCCCTCCCTTTACTCACCTGCCCCAACATGGTCAGAGTGTACTACTTGAAACTCAGAACATAAGTGGATTTGTCCTAAAGCCCAGTCTAAGGACCACAAACTGCTCTAGGTTCTTGTAATAGTCCAGTCCCAGCAAATCAAGTACAGGAACAGATGAGGACTAACTTCAGAACGGTGGGGTTCACAGAATGACTACCCCTACACTCACGTGTTTCTAGCCAACTGGACAGTAATTTGGACTTGCAAAGCTCATGGCAGCCTCCCTACATAGGTCTCCATGACAACACATTCAGTACTGCTACAGAGGCAACCAAAGCAATAGACTTTTGTTGGTTTGGGGGGTTTTTGTTGTTTGATTTTTATCCTGTCTCTTAATACTTCGAGAAGTCCAGTTCCATCCCAGTAATGAGGTTACAGACCCAGCACACCCACCCCATATATTCAAACTCAGAGAGCAGTTGTTTCAGAAGCACAGCTGATAGCTCCTTGCACTGCATGCAGAACAGCCAGGGAATGCTGCCTCCTGCCAGAGTACTAAAGACAGGCTGGTAGATTCATCCAACTCACTCACAGGGCTGGTCTCAACACTGTTGGAAATCCCCACGTGCACAGAAGACTGGACCTCAGGCTTTTAGTACATACAGAAAAGCTCTCATCTGTCAAAGCATATGGCACTAGAGCTTGTAGCGCAGTGTTGCAGGCCCAGAAAGCCATAGCTACATTTTTCTTTTTTCAAGATGGTCATCTGACCTTTGAAGCTTCTCTACTACTGAACTAACATACTCCAGACTACTCCCGTATCTACCACTCTGGCTGGAGCTGATGCAAAAAGATCAACTGGACTTGCTCCCGAGTTCTGCCATCCATTCAGGCCTATTACTATGGCTGTTCGTTCATCAGTCCCTACTCCATTTTGGCTTCTTCCAACCCAAGTCTTCATTCAATTAGAGCACATGAGCTAACGCACAGTTCTGACTGTGCAAAATCACTTCCTAACCCTGGTCAAACAGGCTAGGAGATACAAGAGAAGCAATACTGTACAGCAAGACACAGAAGCAGACTTGAATGGAAGCAAATATAGCCAAGAGAAGGTACTACCATCCAGTTTCCCTATAAGCTCTTCACTCCACTCAGCAACAACTACAGCAGAACTACTATTGACACTCATCAGCTAAGTATCCAGAACAAACACCATTTGTTGAAATGCTAAGCCAGATTTTGAGAACAGTAGCGTCTTGTGTACGTACAGACAATATTTCAACTGAACAAACTCAACTAAATTACCTGTTTCCTAAAGTATAAGGTAAAATGAAAAGCTAATTCCTGCTTCCCCTAAGTACACAGCTAGCAGCTGATAACCTATTTGTCCTGTAGTG